GTTGGTCTGTGTTCTGTCGGAGCTGCCTGCGACGCGCTGATGAGATCCAAAAAGATCGAAATCGCGATCCGCGTCTGGCAGTTTCGACAGAATACAGACCACTTCGAATTATTTTATTAAAAATACTGTTACTTAATGTAACCTGAAATGAAAATATTAAGAGATAAAAATTAGAGGTGCTTTAGTTATAATTTTAATTGCTTATGACTAGTAAGTCAAGACAAAAATATAAAACGATACTGAATACTGCTTCATTCAATCAAATTTTCCTCATAAAAGTCAATATAAGTTGAATCATTGAAGTGTTTACTGCTTTTTTATTAAGGCAAATGTATTTTTTTCTACCACAATTTTCAGATTATTTCCTGACATAGGTATAATAAAAATCAGTAACCGTGGGATTGTGTATTGTATATTTAACGAGAATTGTTTTGTGAATCAGATTAAGTAAGTCTGATGCCAGTGAATGGGTGTGAATGAATAATTAGTCTGCATAGTCTGTGGTTAGTTACTACATCAGGCGTTTGTTTTTCGCAATAAAAAGTTCTCAAGCCGCTACGTCAAAAAAATCCTGAATATATGCTAATAGGGTGTATAATGAACATTTCTCGGTGAGATAAACGTGTTGGTACACAACGCTTTGTATAACATGAGAACGTATCTGCTGTTAAATAAACCAAATACTTAGGCCGCTGTAATATAGGGTTGTTCGGAAAGTCATTTCGTTTTTTTTTTTTTTGGAAATGAAAGACAGTTTTCGTATAATAAACAAATACTTTATTAAATTATATATTGACCGTTCTGGTCCAACACCTTTTGCCATCTTTCTGATAGTAGCATAATTCCACGCTCATAAAATTTTTGGTCTTTGCTGGCAAAAAACTGATCGAGGAGGTTTTTGACCTCCTCATTTGAGGTGAAGGTTTTACCGTCTAAAAAATTTTGGAGTGACCGGAACAAATAATAATCCGATGGTGCCAGGTCTGGAGAATATGGTGGGTGTAGCATTGTATCCCATTCAAGCTGTAAAAGCTTTTGGCGAGTGACCAAACTTGTGTGAGGTCTCGCGTTGTCTTGGTGAAACACTACACCTTTCCTGTTGATTAGTTCTGACCTTTTCTGTTGAAGTGCATCATTCAGTTTGTCCAGCTGATGACAGTAGACTTCCGAATTAATCGTTGTGTTATCCGGTAAAAGCTCAAAAAAAACGATTCCTTTAAAATCCCACCAAACAGACAGCATCACCTTTTTTTGGTGAATATCGGCTTTGGAAATGGTTTGAGCCGGTTCATCTTTTTTGCTCCATGACCTCTTGCGTTTGACGTTGTTGTATACAACCCATTTTTCGTCCCCAGTGATGATGCGCTTCAAAAACGGATCATTTTCGTGACGTTTGAGAAGCGAATCGCAGACGTCAATGCGGCGACACAGATTTCTCTCTGTGAGAACATGGGGAACCCATACATCGAGCTTCGAGGATAATCCCAGGCCTTTCAAGTGGTCATAAACTGTTGAATTTGATAAATTTAACCTCAATCCGATCTCACGTGTTGTTATTCGCCGGTTCACATCAACTAATGCCTTTATCGCGTCTTTATCAGCTTCAACCGGCCTTCCCGAACGTGGTGCATCTTCGACATCAAAATTGCCGGATCGAAATTTAGCGAACCAGTTCTGGCACTGGCGTACTGTCAACACACCTTCTCCATACACATCAGTCAATTTCTTTCTGGCTTGAACAGCATTTTTACCCTTTCTGTAGTAAAACAGTAAGATATGTCGAAAATGCTGCTTATCGCTCTCCATATTTAAAAGGGCACCAACCAAAAACTACTGCGTAGAATTAATTGGAATTTTTCACACACAAGCCTTGCTATATGAGCTCTCAAAGCATATAAAAATTATACGGCTTAAATGTGAAGTTGGGTACAAAAGAATACAATTAAATCCTCTGTCGGGAAAAAACGAAGTGACTTTCCGAACAACCCTATATATACCAGTTGGGAATGACTTTTAGTTGAAATTTCATCTAATTAAATAATGAAAGACACTATGAGCTAAGTAGAGGAAAAATTAACAGAATGCGACATATTCAGAGCAAAAAATGAGTAGATGCCAAATAAGACAACTATTTTGTCAACAGTTCATATAAAGTTGAGAGATAGGCCGAACTTTTTAGCCACAATGCGTTGCGATCACGGAGATCTATACACCACAGGGAATTCATCAATCATCAGGTTAATGTGAGTTTAAATTGAATTTGAAATTCCACCATGTAAAAAACCCTTCTTTGCTGAAACTTTGAATGTTTCTATTTACCTCAAGGTAGCCCACATGACTGTTGAAAGGGTAATCTCCCAAACGTCTTTCCTCGTCCAGGAATTTTCCCGCTCTTCCATTTTCTGGCGGTGAAAACAGGCCGTAATTGAAACTTTCTTTAAGCTCCTGAAAATGAAAGAGAATTTTAAATGTTGAGTATTTCGTTTCAAAATGTTGTGCATTTCTCAAGGGAATAAGCTGTTTCAGTTAGTTTTCAATGTTTCATGCGTCTGTTAATTCATTATTTAGATCACCCTTCTAATTAAGCAGCATACACTTTATTTCATGCATGTTATATGTAGGCACGTTAGAGTATTTCGGTCTTATTTTGACAATTTTTAAATTTTTGTACTCCTTCGAAATAAATAAAGCAGATGATCTTGTTGTGTTGTGGAACACCCTGTAGTGACGAAGTTTCATATTGCGCTATTCGACAAATATATTTCTGCAAATATTCCCCCCAATGTAACTGTCCAAAAAAGTTTGAAACTTGGCAGACATTAACATTATAATAGTAGGTAGATTTTTGCAATTATAAACTTAGAGCTTCTGTTAAATTTTTTTTTTTCTAATACAGTTAGACATATACAACCATTATAGTTCAACAACTAACCAGACGTTTAGACCAGGAATGGTGAATTTTTTTAATAAAATCTGACCAATTTTTTTGCTTGTTCACGCACCTAATTGTTTTTGATAATTAAACTAAACAAGCAAGCGTGCCACAGTTTCAACCAATCGCTTCCCGGTAAATCTAATAAAGTTGAGACAGTGAGTAGACATCATCGTTAAATCAAACGAATGAGTTAAGAGCATCGATTCTATGAACAAGTTGGTAGTAGTTGTCTATGTATTTTATGATTTTTTAATTCCTAATTCGTCTGTAGTCGAGTGTAATGAATATTAAACACACAAACGCACTATTTTAATAGTTAGATTGGAGCTAGTGCCATAACGAATAGTAACAATGCGTATGTCCAATTACCTGTGACTATTTTACGAATTAATTATTGGGTGCTTTTATGATGTAAATGTAATATGTACCTACTTCAACTGTAAATATTGTGTCTATTGTGTTATTGAATTAGTGAAAACTGTTGGTCCTCAAATACTTCAAACAGAAGAACAACCTATTTGTACGTTTTGTGTTTGCATTTTATAAAAAAAAAATCCGTACAGCAAACAATACCTAAGGACTTATAAGTAGGTACCTACATATATAAAGTTTGCTGTTTGCAAAAAAAATGTTTATTTTGTAGTCATGTTAAGTTTAAGTTTGAAGTTCAAATTACTGTTGAACTAAGAGTATCCAGTGCGTGAACCTCGAACCTCTAAAAGCCTGTGTAGCACATAGTTTCAAATGAAATTTAATCGTCCTGCGAGATATGCTAGGCTACATGGTTTAGTTTTTACACGACTCATTTACACGTGCATTTATTTTTGCGTTAACTTGCATATTACTCTACAATAGCTGAGTATGATTTTTTGATAACTTGCAATTCGGTACATATATTCGTTTGCATTTTTTTTATCGCCACTGTTACCAACGAGCTGCTCGTGTTTCAATTAAAAATGAAATTCTGCAAATTATTGTTCAAGACATATACAAAAAAAAAAAACTGAAGTGTTTTGTAAAATATATACCCAGAATAAAAATTCATGCTGTTTAATATTCTGTTAAAACCATCGAACTTGAATCGCAGTTTTGATCTCCTTGGGTCTCATCAGCACGAATTGGTAAATGCTTTCGCGGCCAGTAGATGAACTGATGCTGTTTAAAGACCGTGGTCGGCTGAAGTTACCTCCTAACGTTTCGTTATCAGAACAGCATCAGTTCTCATGAGCACGTTGTAGACACTTTTAACAAGATACTGACCGACTGTTCATGTACCCAGAAAAAATGTTTAATAAAAATAGCAGCATCATACTGCACACCAAGAAAATTTGTCAGTAAGAATACTTTCCAAAACTTGAAGATATTTGAAAATTATGAAATTGGCCGTCATTTTTTTCAGGATACGAACAAATTTAACATTTACTTAAAATTCTCTCTTACAATAATACTAATAATTTAATGATTTAGTGGCAACATTAAACCGATTTTTTACAACCAACAATTATTATAAAATGATCAGTTATATCCGAAAGGAACAGTTAACTTTCAGTTGTTGGTAATGTGCTGTTGTGTAACAATTTTCTAAGCATTACAAAAGGCCCTTTCATGTTTTCTTTTTATTATCGGTAGGAATGAATCAGGATTAAAACATGTATATTACTTTCTACTGCATGTTTAATCTTCTTCTAACAGCAATTCGAGGTTTGAAATTGACATTTTCAATCTTGCCTTTGAACATTATGATGATTTATCTGGCTTCAGATTCAGAGTCATTATTCATGAACGTTTGGACTTAGTAGTAGCTGCTAACTATTCAAAACAGGTGGCATTTTTTCTCATGCAATCCATCTTATTGTTTGGAAAAGAACTGTTATATAAACCAGTGTGTACACCTACATCTCTTGCTTTCCCAAACAGAGCCGGATCAAGTAAATTGATTTAATAAACAATAAATTTTCAATTACCTGTGTACAATCTGCTTATTATCTAAATGACAAGACTCAGATACATTTATTATATGCAAAATTTCGTTTTTAATTTATTACATAATCTTTGCGCATCCCTTGTAAAATAAGTACAAAAAAGATTTAGTTGAATGTCTTGAATTCTAACTACTCGTTTGATCAAAAAAATTGTTAAATCCAACACTGGTCCAAAAAGATTTGACGTGTTTTATGTTATTTAAATGACGGTTAAGCGTTAATAAAAATAATCTATTAAACATTAATTCAGGCACAAACAAAGATAAGGACTAGTACTTAAAAAATTAGTGTATATTACTCTTGAATAGATTTTTATCTTGATTTACCACAAAATTATCATACCATATGGCGGATTTGGTACACATTGGAGTAAAGCGCGTATAAAAATTTATGGGTTTTTTTACGTCATATAGACGTTATTGCTAAGTCTCCTGATAGTTTTGATATTTACCGAGAGGGTTAAGGGATTTTCAGATAAAGAATGACATGATAAAAAGAAAAACGTATTGAAACAATATAGACCTTTTACAAACTATTTTGTATTACTCAAAACTGTTTAAGAAAACTTATCAAAAAAAAAAGACCCTACTTTTATATTATTAACTTAATTGTTGCGCTAATTCAGAGAAAGTATTAACTAAAATGTTAAAGACAACTTAACAGATAATTCAATCACTGCATTAGTTACAAAAAATTATAGGTTTTCAGACCAAATTCATTATTACATTTGCAGTGCATTGACTAATTAGTTTTCTGATTAGTTGGTCTGAATTTACTTTTATATTTTCATGAGACGATGTTCAACAGCCAACCTCTTAATGTTGCCTGTGCATTTCTAAATAACATTTTCAACTTTATCTGTGGCGAGTGCGATTGCTTTGCTCAAGGAATCTACTTAACAAGTCCCGCTAATACTTTAAGGAATAATGGCGGTTGCATCCATTTAAGATATGAAAGCGTATGAGATGGTCCGGTAAGTGTCTATTCATTACAATATCCTCAATGTACAGATGTAAAGTAAGCAATATAAGAAGTCCTCTGTGGCACAATAGATTAGATATAAGTTGGTTTACTGCCCCATAAAGTACGAGTTTAACTGCTTTCGTTCTTCTCTTCGTCCTCTTTTTATTATTATCTTTTTTTAATTTGCGAGTATGTTTTCTCATTTTGCATCCCTACGTCGGCGCCTCTGTGTAATCGTTAACTTGTGCCACTTATAAATCCTTCTCTGAGGCGCAGATTTATACGCCAATAATCGCACGAAGTACGAAACGATTTATGAATCGTACTTAAACATATACACGTGATTTAAACTGAGATTAAACGTGAAGAAAGCTAAAGGATAATTTCATCTCCTTGCGATCGTTCCAAAGCAAATCCTGCTTAGAAGATACACACATACAGCCTACCTCTTCACTCTTAAATGATAAATGAGGCGACATCCCGAACGTTTGTCGAACAAAACATTGAAAATATTTATTAATTTTTCTACGGATTCACACATGGATTTCACATCATAAAGTACAATGTGCGTGCAAGAAAATGAAATTTTGCCTCTTTTAATAGATTTTTTTCTTAATTTAACGTCATAATTTTGTTTCAGTTTCAAATACTAAAAATTTAATTTCTGATCTTATTAGTAAAGCATATTGAACTATTCCTATTATACTCTCTATTAGGATGATTGTGACCTTTCTTTTTGACTGTTTTGTCGTGGTTTCTGATTATTCTCAATAATGGTATGGTTTACTACGTAACAAGAGCTCGGAAAAAGACGTAAAAACCCATAATGTAAAATATGTGACGAGTGCTCACGCCCAGCTTTGAAAAATCAACGAATTAACTTTGTTAAAAATTTACATTTACAATAAATAACGGAATCCATGATACTTCATTTATGAATGTTTACTGTCATTATTATATGCAAACAATAATACTTATTGATAATGAGACATTTAGAAGAGTTTATATAAGGTTAATTTCACTACATTACAGTGAATTAATTTTCACCACTACAAATAATCTCAAATTAATGAAGAAAAATTTTTGATACTGTTACGCCCTCGTCGAGAATCGAACCCGGGTCTCTAGCTTCACGCTCCATTGCTTTACTACCAACCTAAGAGAGGTGACATCAGCAACGCGACGATACGTATCTGACTACGTACAGCAGTGGTGCGTGAAGCCAAAGATTCGAGTTCGATTCCCGGCGATGACAGGACAGCAACAACAATTTTTCCTCATTAATTTAAGGTTATCTGTAGTGTGAATTCCCTTTAGTGTAATAACACCTGTTCCTCAATTTAAATGAGATTGGCAAAAAGCGACTGCGAATGAGCGACACCTTATACTTATTCTTGATTTGGACAATGTTAGAATTGATGCAGGCCGATAGATTCAGTAATATTTATATCTGCTTGCACTATCCATACCTTTTTATCATTTCTACAAATGAAAAATGAAAAATCGCATTTAAGTCGATATTCCCATACTGTGTGCCTTTTGCAAAATTTTAGTATCCTATCATT